TGCATTTCGCATATTTGATATTAAGCTCTAAGAAAAATGCACTATTTTTAATCTTTTATTAATTATTATTATCATTTTATGATACAGTTCCATAGGTCCCTGAGATTTCCCTTATCCTCTCCCCAATTTCCACCCCTCCCCAGAGTTTCCCTGTATCATTATTAAAGTACAGTTCTACTTACACAGTCATATGTCCATCATTATGTGCATGGACAATGGCAGAGAGTCCATCATCTTATTCTCATATAGTAAACAGCTTCATTGGGAGTCCATCTTTGTCTGGAAGTAGAGATGCATACTGCATTGTATCCTCACATCTGGATATGTTAGTCTCCATTTCAGTTACTGTACATCTCCTTAAATGAAAAGCTACAATGCAAAATCAACAATAGGAAGAAAAATAGAAATTTACAATGCCATGAAGTAAAATAACATGCTGCTAGATTTGAGAGTCTCCATTACATATCTACTACACATCCCCTTAAAAGTCACAAAACAAAATCAACAATAGGAAGAAAAAAGAAATTAACAGAGAATCAAGATGACGGAATAGGGTAAGGACATGTTTAAATGGATGGAGAAACATTTAATCAGGATGAAGCAGAGAGGACACATTCCAGGAGATAGGAGGGTAGAGGGGTACCTGGAGACTGACAGACACAGGAAAGCAGCAGACACAACAGTGTGGTGTTGTACTGGCTGGTACTCCTGCAGCACTCAGCTATCGGCCATTGGACCTTCACCGGCAGCTGAAACTCCACCAGCAACAAGGTGGGAAGGGACTTTCACTGGGAGCTTGGGAGGTGAACCCAGACAAAGAACTGTCCATCTTTCTGATTCAGCTCCTTGTTAATGACTTGGGAAAGTAGTGCAGGCTGACCGAAGATCATTGGTCCCCTCACTCATGTGGGAGACCTGGAAGAATCAACTGGCTTCAGACCAGCCCAACCTTGGCCATTTGTGGACTGATCCAGTGGATGGGAGATCTCTCTCTCTCTCATTTTATCTCTGAAACTCTTCTTCCCAATTAAAAAAAAAATGAATCTTTTCAAAAAGGTATAATTGTCCTCATACTCTGTATATAGCTCATGTGAAATGTTGGTGTTAAATAACAAGTAAATAAAACCCTTGTACATGCTAGGATGGCAATAAAGAATGTCATGCAACCTGTCCTTTTGTTTGTGGCATAAGAACAGAGCAAGAATGATTGTTAAGTTGTTTATCTACTTGTTTGTATTGTCTCCTTCTGGAGTGATAGAGCCATGGAATCGGGGACCACATCCCGTTTCTCCAGTGTGAGGGCACTGCCTGCCCACAGAGACAATGGCAAACATTGGCTGTGAGTTTAAAGATGTATTTATTTTTATTGAAAAGGCAGATTTAGAGAGAGAAGAAGAGACAGAGATCCTGTTCATTCCCCAAATGGCTGCAGTGGTTGGAGCTGAGCAAATCTAAAGCCAGGAGCCCAGAGTAACTTCTGGGTCTCCAGTGTGGGTACAGGGAACCAAGGACTTGAGTCATCCTCTGCTGCTTTCCCAGGTCATAAGCGGGGAGCTGGATTGGAAATGGAGCAGCTGGGCAACAAACTGGTGTCCATGTCAGGACTTGTAGGCTGAGGATTAGTCTGCTGAGACCTAGCCCCAACCCCTGGGTCACAGCTTTCATAGGCTTAGTAAGAGAAGGTGCCCTATGCAAGACTAGGGATCCCATAACTGTTTTGTCTGTACTTGTAGTACATTTGCATATGTTATTGTTCTTTTTGAGGGAAAGATGGAATTATATTCTGATGTTTTGTTCCCAAATGCCTATAACAGCTGGGCATGTGCTGAGGCCAAAGCAGGGAACCAGGAGCTCAAGCTAAATCTCCCATGTTAGGCTTAAGAGTCCAGTTACTTAAGCCATCACCCCTGCCCACCAGGGCATGTAGTAGAAGGGAGCTAAAGTTCAGGAGCATGGGCCAAGTAAAGAATCCAGGTACTTCTATGCTGTCTTAACCTGTGTATCTCAATTGGTAGGCTAAAATCCCATTTTTGCATTTGTTTTTGAAGTTCTTTTTCCTTTGCTGAGCTTTAAGGGGAGAAGTTTTATAGGTGGAGAAGCTATGGAAAAGTGAAAATCTCTAAATGCAGAAGGAAGCTTGTGAGAGCTAGTATACGTATTTGACCAAACTACCGTGATGTGTCTTTTTTTCTGGATGTAATATTTGCCTTTTTATTTACAATTGATCAAGGAGGTATTCATCCAAAATAACTGATTATTGCAAGGCTGGTTTTTTGAACATTCAACTGTGAAGTTTCAAAGAAATTATTGTTTTTAAATTCACTGATCTACAGCTCTTTAAAAATTTTTAACAATTTGTTGACCTATTGAAAGCATGAATTTTTATTTAAAATCACCCCAAATGTGATCATAAGCCCATATTCTAAATCTATAGGATATAGTACTGTCTTTACTAGATTTAGTTTTTTTAGTGTATATTTTGAAATAAAAAAATTTTAATACTATAAGAGAAATAGGCAAAGGATAGAACAGGAACTTGAATGAATCCATTTTTCTTTTTCTCTTTTTTAAAATTTTCCTATTGGCAAGAATAGAGGGAGAGACATTAAGGGAATTTTGTTGTCTATTAGTTCACTCTCTACATGGTCACGGTGGCCAGGGCTGATTCAAGAAGTTGGGAGATGAATCTGGGTCTCCCACATGGGTGACAGGGACCCAAAAACAGGAGCCATCTTCTGTTTCTCCTGAGCGCATTAACAAAGAACTAGATCAGATGTGGGGCTGCCAGGACAGGAACTGTAGCTCATCTGGGATGCTGGTGTTACAGCTGGCAGCTTTACCCAGTATGCAAGCAAACAAAAAAATCCTAAATGAGTCTGTCTTAAAACCAAAGAATATCAAGAGATACAAGCAGCCAGACACCAAATGAAGACTGTTCAACTCCCATTGTCAAGGAATTACAAATTAAAATAATAGGCTTCCTTACTTTGCATACCAATTTGGAAAGAAACAGGAACCCATGCACCATTATTAGAAATATAAATTGTTTCATCCTTTCCAGAAGCGATTTGACAAAATAAATTAAGCTTTAAAATTGTATCTCGTTGGGCCCAGGGTAGCAGCCTAGTGGCTGCAGTCTGCCTTGTACACATCAGGATCCCATATGGGTGACGGTTCTAATCCTGGCAGCCCTGCTTTCCATCCAGCTCCCTGCTGGTGGCCTGGGAAAGCAATGGAGGACAGCCCAAAGCCTTGGCAGCCTGCACCCGCGTGGGAGACCTGGAGGAAGTTCATGGCTCCTGGCTTCAGATCAACTCAGTTCCGGCCGTTGCAGCCACTTGGAGGGTGAATCAATGGACAGAAGATTTTTGTCTCTGTTTTCGTCCTCTCTGTATTCTGACTTTGCAATAAAAATAAAATAAATCTTTAAAAAGTATATATCTCCTTTTGTTGACCAATATTACTGCACTTCTGAGAACGTACCTTAATGAAGCATAATTAAAGACAATTTATAGTTGTAAGCATAATTAAAAGAAATATTAGTTGAGGTAGCAAAGTATTAGCATCTAAATGACCTGTAACAGCAAAATAAAATTATAACATGTATGCGGATATAATGACACTTGGTCATAGGAAAACAAGTTTCTACAAGTTTGTTGATATGAGATTTATTTTAGTTGAAAGAGTTATGCAGAAAGGAGAAATAGAGGGATCTTCCATCTGCTGGCTTACTCCCCAAATGGCCACAGTGGCCGGAGCTGGCCTGGTCTGAAGCCAGGAGCTTTTTCTGGGTCTCCTATCTTAGCTTGCTATGCCGCCACAGCAGCCCCATGTCACATTTCTTAAAAAAGAACAAAAGTGATTATTGCAATATTGTTTCAAAAAATCAGTGATATATTTTGGAGAAAGCAAGATCAAATAATAGATAGGAAAGATTGCATACGTATTTTATAGTTGGTTATCTGTCAATTGTGACTGCTTTGAAATGGTTTGCTGATTATCTGCAAAGGATATAGGTAATTTGTACATGGAACACCTTGTTGGCTACCTTAAGAAGTGGCTGAACGTACAAGTGGTAGAAGACATGCGAGTGCAGTGTTTGTTGAATACTGCTCTTTACCTATCAGACTGGCAAAAAGAAGTGGACATTGAATGAGAAAAGGGACAGAATTGAAGTGGGAGGCTACCCTTCTGGCAACCCATTCTGAAGAGCACATTTAGCAACCTTCCTATGACCCACCACCAATTCAGTTTTAAGGGGTGCTGATTTTTATCCCCATGGTATCTGGTGCAGAGCAGAAATTACTGGGGAGTTGATTTCTCAGGAGAGGGGATGAGTAAAGAGTGCTGGATGGAAGCCACAGAATTTGATGCCATCACAGCAAGGCGTGGGTGGCCATCCACATGGTTAGAACTCACAAAGTCCCTAGTGAGCAGGACCAGATAAAATACAAAGTCCCTCAACCCCATGACACCATACAGGTCACGTTAAAACCCAGCATGGTTCATAAGAACATAGAATCACCATAAATGGGAGAGGGTCTTGTATAGAGGGAAGTTGCTAGAATGTTGAGGATGATTATAAAGTCCTTGTGACACTGCTTGGCTGTTAAATGGAATATCCTGTGTTATGAGAGAGAGAGAGAGAGAGAATCCCTTAATTGTCCTCATGCCCTGCCAGCAAAAATCCAGCAGGACTTGAGTGGGAAGAAATGTGACCAGGTGACATGGGACTCAGGAGGACAGAGACCCATAATTTTATAAACCTGTTAAAAAGCAGGACCAATAGATCAGTAAAGAACATTGCTTGACTTAAATGTATCATTTCCATAGAGGACAGTGCCCGTGTTCTTACAGGGTAAATGTTAGTGAAAGGATAGCAGGAAGCACAAATCCTTTACCGTTGCCATTAAGATAGCCACTAAGAAATGTCGGTTCAATGCACGTCGTGAGGTAACTCTAAAAGGTTCTAAAACCTCTTTCTTTCTCTCATGTACCAGCTGACTACAAGGAGAGCTTTAACACAATTGGAAACATTGAAGAGATTGCGTATAATGCTGTTTCCTTTACCTGGGACGTGAATGAAGAGGCAAAGGTGAGTGAAAGCCTAGCCAAATGTCCCTTGTAAGTAATGTTCCTCCTCTCTGCAGATGGTCTAGTTTTTCCAAAGCAGCTGCAGGGAGTTTCCTACTAACTGGCTGAAATAAGAGAAGGCTGCAACCATCGCTGTCCCTGGATGTTACACACATGCAGCTAATCACGATGCCATTGCCTTTTAGGGAGCCAGGGAAGGTGCCTGTCCACGGTAGCATCTCCTTGATCCTTCAGCCTTCCTAAGTCGGCGCCTCAGGGAGAGGCCTCCGCATTCCTGCAAGCCTGCCCTGGCCCAAGCTGGCCGAGGGGTGGGAACAGGAAGCAGAGTAGCCAGTGTCTGCTCCTCACTGTGACCTTGGGGCTCTCCTGTATGTGCGCTGCTTACCCGTTGTTTGTCTTTCAGGGCGCCACTATAGCTCAGGTGTGCTATTCTGAGCCTGAGACATTGCCCAGAGCGTAAGTTTGAATAAGAAAGCAGACTCACTGATACACATCCTGGCTCTCCCACCAGGAGTTTCTTTAGCTTTATGAAAATTCCAAGCCTTTCTGCGAGGTGCCCTCTTCCTTCTGCGTTCTTAACTTCAGATTCTTGACCCTTATTTTGCACTTCCAGGGAAGGTGCCAGATGTAATCTCAGCTTGTTTTCTGTTTCATTTCTGCGCCTTCTTGGTGAGGGCTAGTAAATGTTGTCTTCAGACTAATGAAAAGGTGGATGTTCACAGTCTGTCAGTACCATATTGTCTGCGAGCAGGGGAAGGTCAGGCAGGAAGGAAAGCTATTGGGGATTTGCAGGCGCCTGGGAGAATTGTACAGTGTCTCCCTTCACTCATGTAGAAAACAACCTCGGTGAAACTGGCTGCAGGCCTAAAGAAGGTGTCCCACACAGGCACGCAGCTACAGAGTGGGAACACAGCCCGGGGGAATTCTTGCTATGGGGTCAGGTCCCACACAGACCTGCAAGGTGCATTGTCTCTAGACTCTGTGCCCCACCCTCGCCTTAGATAACTACCTCTCACCTGGCCCAGCTGTGTCTGTTCCTGTCCACTGCTCCCATCGCAGACTCCTTGGCTCTCCAGCCCTTTCTGTCTTCCTGCTCTGTTTCAGTCCAACATTCAGAGTTGGGGAAGGATCACTCAGGGACCGTGGAGTGATGCCAAAGTCCTGGGCTCAGGTGGGACTCCTTGGAGAATTACGTGACCTCTTTGGACCTTGCTTAGTGTGGACAAACTCAACTAGCAAACACTTACAGAGGACTGATGCCTGAAGAGGGAGGTTGGAGACCACATGGTGCGATGAGGGAGAGAACAGACCTGCCTCAGGGTCCTGAAAAAGGCCTTATGGCTCTTAAAGCAATTATTGTCATGCAGCGTGCAAATGGTGCAGTGGGTGACGTTCATGCCCACGCTGCAGCAGAGGCCTTACAGAAAGCAGGCAGTTTATCATGGGCACTTGAGGTTTTCCTGCAGACTGGTGATACAGTTAATTTGGAACTGAGTTGACCTTTCATTCCAAGTTACTCCACATATGTGTGTGTACATATGTGTGGTTTCAGGCGTACAAGTTGAAGTTCATGTGTGCTTGTAAACAAATGGCAATGGACAGTAGCTGACATTGCTTGTGGTACCAAGATGTGTTTTATCTAGTTCAAACATAGTTTTAGCAACTATGATTTGCTTATTTGCAGTGCAATGAGCTCTGGTTAATCAATAAACAGTGAAAAAACAATTTAAAATAATTTCTTCCAAAGCGGTTATGAAGAAAAAACATTAAATTTTGATCGACTTCATTTAGGGAGGCTAAGAAAGCTAATTAGGAGAGCCTAAGGTGTTTTTTTAAAATGTTATTGATCTTAAACAAGCAGACTGCCAGGAATGGAGTCACATGATGGTGGAATGAAAGGCTTTGAGCAAGCAAGAAGTAACAGGAATCTCCCGTTATACAAGTGGACTAGTGTCTGATATTCCTGTTTGGACTTCTCATATTAGCTTTCAAGTTCCTGTTGGTGTCATCCATACTGAAATCTTTTGTAGGTTTCAGAGCTGAAGTTCTATTCTATATCCCATGATGTTTTGGCTCTGGATGGACAGGAACACAAACTTGTGATTTATGAACGTCTTCTATTTGAAAACTAACATTTTATTCCCCATTAATAATCAGGAAATTGTTATTTACATTTTTATTTCTTTGAGAAGCAGAGAGAGGGAGAAAAAGAGAGAGTTCCAATCTCATCTAGCACTTCATCCTAAAAGCCTGTGCTGGCTGAGACCAGGCTGGCCCAGAGTTGGGTGCCAGAAACACAGTCCAGGTCTCCCAGGGCATGGTGGCAGGAATGCAATGACCGGAACCATCACTGCTGCCTCCCAGGGAATGCACTAGCAAGCAACTAGCATTGGGAGCCATAGCTGGGTATCTGGTCTTGTGACCTGTGAGGCAGGTGTCTTTACTGCTCAACTTAATACTAGCTCATCATACCTCCTTTTAGCCTCCTTAATTTTACTCCCCTTCCAAAAACTTTATGACACGTGATATAGACACAGGTATCTAAGTTGGCTTTCTGCTAAATGTCCACCCAAGGAGATTTTTTTAAAAATTGGGTTTCTGGATGCTTTTTAGGAAATTAAAAAGGGCCTGAGTGTTTACAAACAATTCTTGTGAGCTACCAGCTTCTCTTGCCATTGATTTCTCTAACCTTCCCTGTCTGGAGCATTCCTTTCCTGACCTGGGTGGACACTTGTGTTTCCATGCTGAGTCACTGCCCCGAGACAACTCATATACTGTCTGGATCGTTTTGGCTTTCTGTGTTGGGGAAGGTAGTGCCTCCGGGGAGGCTCAAAGCATAGATAAACTCATGCCTATCTGAGGCTTGGAGGAGGGCTTTCCAGCCAGAGTATGACCACTGAGGAAGGGAGGTGCTGTCATAATCTCAAATGCCTACAACAGTGGAATCTGCTATTTTTAAAATAGCAGACATCCTGGACCAGTGCTTTGGCATAATAGGTTAAACTTCTGTAGGAGCACCAGTTTGAGTCCTGGCTGTTGCACTTCTGAGCCCTGTAGAAAGAGTTGCATCCCACATTCTTTGATGTGACTCCATCTCCAAAGATGTTTAGTCTTTTCTTTCTCCTCTTAGCAGTCCGACACTGGCACCAAAGTAGTAGAGCCGGCCAGTAATTCCCAAGATGAGAAATTCCTGTGTGAGACCCTGTTGAGCCATCGAGGACCAGTGAGCTCAGCTTCCTGGCAGTCGGTGCTGCCTTTCTCCAGCGATGATATCACTCTCCTGAGGGGTGGGGACAGCACGTTTCCGTAGCTCACTGATCTCCAAGCAGATTCTGTCCAGGGCTGTATTCTCTGTTCACAGTGATTACAAAATCAGGCCAACCTCTGTGTACTGTAAAGACCTCTCTCATGTCACAAGGCCACAGAAGAGAATCACTTAGGCATTGGGCTACAAACTGCCCTTGAAGAATGAATTGTCTCTATGTGTCTTCAGCAGAATGCCCTACCCACTAACCCTCATTTCCATGCTGCTGCCTTCCCATCTTTATAAATTGTTTTTGTTCCCTTGAGCATTACATTTTCATTGTTCTGCCTCTAAACCTTTCGAGGTAATCTTGATTTAGTGAAAATGTTCCTCTTCCTTCATTAGCCACCAGTAAAATAGTCAAGGTGACAAATGCATCCACCACCTGTCTTCCATCTCTCTGACTTTTAGAACCATCTCTCCTGACTGGAGAATAAGTGCCTTTGTCTTTGGGGTCTCTCTCTGCTGCTGGCTAGCCGGTGTCAGTGGTTGCCTCCTCTCTCCCCTACTCCTCTGTTGTCTCTCCTACCTCCTTGCTGAGTTATAGAAGGGAACTTGGGAGACAGGTTTATTTCACCTGCCACTTGATATCCGGTTATACTTTAGGGAGTATCAAAGACACAGGTGTGGCATATGTGTTCAACTCTGCTAATGATTTTTTAGGGGTGAGATCAGAGGTGAGGAGCAGGACTAGATGAGGCATGGATAAGAGACATCACGGATGATACTTCTGTGTGTTGCAGATTCTGACACTACTGCATAGGATGTTTTGACATAGCAGGCATTACAAGATTAGGCAAGTGGAAAAGGTGGGTTTTGAAAATGGGGCCCCTCTGAGTGCAAAGCCTGTGCTGTTAACTAAGCAGAGGGAAACCAGAGATAATCTTTTAGACCCGAGCATGCTGCATTTTCCTTTCTGCACAAAATCAATGGGAAGCCATTTGTGTTGGTTTAGAATGAAAGAAAACAAATGATCACTCCCAGTTTGCTGAGAAAAGTAATTTAGTTGGGTCACCCTGCTTTGGCCACCTGCCCTTCCTCAGCTCCCCAACAAAGATGGTTTGCTGTTCCCACAGTCCCAGCACACAGGGCTCTTCCCAGGCATATCTTTGGTTGCCCTGATATGTTACTGCTCCTGTCATACTTATTGGTCAGGATGTGACAGTGAAAGTGGTTTGAGACTCTTTGTCCTCTTCAAGAGTGTGTGTTTATAAGCCTAACAACAAAACTAAAGGCCCTTGGTGTAATTATACATTATTCATGATATAATACATTATTATCTTGACCTAACTGTGTTAAATGAAGTCCAGTGTTCAGTCTAATATTATCTCTCAGACATATTCCAGTGTGTTTTTTTTATTCATTCCTGTGTTTCTTTTCTGTTTCCCCATCTCTAATTCTTTTCCACTATATTCTGAGTTCATTTTGTACTAATTTATGTTGTTTCTGATGCCTTTCTTGGATGTTTTTTTTTCCTCCCAGAACAAATAGTGGAGAGTGTTTCTTTCTTTTGCACAAAACCATCCAGGAAGCACAGAGCCAAAGCGGGTATGAGCCTTGTTAATCAGATGGAATTTGCAGAGGGTGTACAGGATGAGCTGCTTCCTGTGTGAGGCTCTGGAAATTCAGTAAATGAATTCCCATTCTTACCAAGTGCGAGGATGGCAAGTGAATACTTAAGTCAGTATTTACTTTGT